CAAGGTGGAGATGGAGACGACGTGATGGTGGAGGTAGGGAGAGGATGAAGATGATGACTAGGAACAACAAGAAGGAACAAAAAAAACAAAAACAAAAGATAAAAGATAAAACAGCGAGCCTTGGACTCTTCCAAAAACTGACGGGCGCTACGTTGCCCTCCTCCAAGGGACTTCAAGCCACGAGCCCGGACCCATCCTGAGGCTGGTGGAAACTCCGACTTCCTCCGATAGGGATTCCACTAACGTTCTTCCCAAAGAACACAAGTGCAAAACACAAATTTTTTTTATTATAATTCCATCATACCTAATACAAGAGAAGGGGCCATAGGCCTCAAAAGAAATTAAAAGACACATTTGCCCCTTGGGCTTACATAAGACAAGAGGGTAAAAAGGAAAATTGCAAAATTAAATCAAAATACACTTAATAAACTAAAATAAAACAAAGTGATCTCAGTCGTCAATCTTCAGCTCCTCCTCGGATAGGCATTGACAGTTGGATGTCCGCATCAACTTGATTGTAGCAATAAGTAGACAAGTGTTTGTTAGGACGTCCCTCAAAGTAACACACCACAATTTAACCTAATCATGATTAAAATTAGACAAGGGTTTCAAAATGACATCAACTCAAAGAGAAGCATCATAACCTATGTTGCACCGATACACCTATTTATGAAGGCGTGCTGTATCCGATACACCGATACACGGATACGCCTCCGATACTCCACCGATACGTGTCGAGCGTCGCCGAGCCTAATTCGACACAATTCGACACCGATTTGAGTTTAATTTCATGAAATTAACTCGATCGGACCCAAATCGATCCAATTCGGGTTCGATTCGAACTCAATTTCAACCCAAATCAATCAATTTGGGCTGAATTTGGTTCTCAAATCAAAATTGAAGATCTAGGGTTGAGATCTCTTCTCAAATCCCACTCAATTTCACTTCAAGTGGCAGCCAAATCTACTCGAGTAGATTTTTCTCTCGTTTCTCACAATGAGGCTGTCAGATGGGACGGAACGAGGGCTTCGTTCGGCTCTGTGCTGGCGCCCCTAAGTGAACGAAATGAGTGGGGAGCCTCATTCAGCTCCCCGTTTTGTTTTTCCGCCCGAAACCAGAGAACGAGCGAGAGAGAGAGGCCGAGAGCGGAAGCCAGAAGCGGAACCCCTCTTCGCGCGTGCGGATCCTCCGGCCGACCCCGTCCAGGGCTTCGGCAAAGCCTCTTGGGGTTCGGTCTTCTCCCGTCTGCCGCATTTCTTGGAGCCGCTAGCCTCCAGGTTTGCTCCAACACCTCCCACTTCCTCCAGATTTGGGTTTGGCGTGACATTCTTGCTGTAGAACGCTTCTCCTCCTTCCTTCCTCAAGTCCGGCAAATTCGTGGTGGTCAAGAAAGCTGTTGGAGACTTCCAAACAGCAAAGGAGGGCTTCCAAATCTTCCAAACAACGATTTGGAGCCTTCGAAGCGTCCCGGACAGCAGCGGTGAGTTCCGGAGTGGCTTGGACAGCGACTTTAGAGCTTGGATTGGAGCTTGGAGCGACTTTGGAGCTTGGAACGGAGCTCGGACAGCAACTTGGACAAACCGGGTGTGGCTTGGACTTTTGATGCGGTAGGCTATTAGGACAAAAATAAGATTTCTACTCATTAAAGTATAATCAATCTAAAATTTGATTTAGGCTCCACGATTTTCTAACAAAAAGAAACTTGCATGGCTCCCTTCAAGGAGCCAAGTCTTCCAAATTTAAAACAATCATGCATGGCCAAATGTGTTGCATATAGAAAGTCCTCACTTAAGGATTAGATAACAAAAGTCTTTTTCTTTATGAGTCAGCATATGCATACCCACATACTTAGGCATCTTGGCCTTTTTTTTTATATAATTTCAAATATTATGCTTTGATTGCTTTCTTAATTTTTATGTATGATTTATAAATTATGATGTCATGTCCGCGTCGTACCCGTATCTTGTATTTTTAAGAATTGACGTGTCCCGTATCCGTATCGTGTCGTATCCGTGTCGCCATATCCATATCGGTGCAACATAGATCAGAACATAATTAATTTAAATAGTTAGCAAGGTTGATTATCCAAAACAATGACAAGATTTGTTATGGGGATTTTGGGGACTTTCACATGGGAAGGCAAAAGAATTGGTAGACACATTAATTAGCAATGCAATAAATATTGTTTATTTAAATGGAAAAGGAAAAGTCCAAGTAGTATTGAACAGGGAATTCATATTAATTGGACCAGTAATAGTTATGGATAGTGACTATAAAAAATAACATTTATAAGTGAATAATGTTAGTAGTAGGGTGATAGATATAAACTAATTATTGGTGAAATCATTATAAATGTCATTATTGATGATGATCCTTAAGTAACAGAAGATATTTTGAAAGCCCAGTCCTAGAAAGAGGTGGATGAACAATTGATGGAGATGACAGATGAGGTGCTGCGAGAGGGAAGATAAAGCGAAAAATAGGCATAAAAAGCACTCAATTGGCCCACACATAATTTCATTAATATGAATTCCCTGTTCAATAATTAGAATGCAATGCACAGATCCCCATTAATAGGAATAGGGTTACATAAGGTAAATTATGTGAAAATAAATCTAATCCTATTTGAAGTCAAATCTAATTATACCAAATCTTCAAATTCGGACCTAATAGTATTCAAAGAAAATAATTGAATCTAATGAAATAAATCAACTTAAAAACAATGAATATGAGAATAAAAAGGCCTAAAAATAGGTCTTGTTCAACCGTATAATACACCGGTTTGACTTCTTGTAATAAGCCAATGGGAAATTGAGCTTTTATAGGTTAATTTGGAATGAATGGTTTCTTATATTATATCAACACACCCAGGGTGCAAAGGAATCTACTATGGAGAACTAGCAGTCATATAGCCATTTAAGAGAAATTTATCATTTTTCATTAATGCATCATTTAAAAGAGGCATGTGTTAGGCCGGTTCTCACTGAACTGGCCCAACCGAGTGAGAACCAGCCCAACCGAGCCAAGGGAGGCCAGCTCTTGTTTACAAGAGGCGGACAAAACAGCCCCCTTTTGCTTTGCCACCCAAGCTAGTGCCACTAGACAGCCAATTAGCGAAGGACAGTGGGGCTAGATTTGGGAGGGAAATTTAATGTTTATTTTAAAATTTAATAAATTTAAATTAATTCATAAAGCTAAATATTTGATATTAAATTTATTAATTAATTAATTTAATTATATAATGAGATAAAAATAAACCAACTGCTTTTGTGAAAACAGACACCGATTAACCGTTCGTAGAGTCGATTCTTCGCGAAACCTATTTTAAGAATATACAGGACAGGGGAGTAAACCAGTTAAACCAACCAGTTCATTCCGATTTTTAAAACATTGCATTTTATACATAGATTGCAATGCAAATCACCAACCTATCATACACAAACACAACAAATCATAAGAGTATGTTGTGTCACAACATATGTCTAACATCATGCGCCCAATAAAACACCATTTTTTAAAATAACATAAAATATTACAAATTTTAAGATATAAAAAACTTAACACGTGTCCAACACTCAATAAATGAGTATTAAGCACTAAAAGCTCAAGAAAAACAAACTTCAGTATTTTTTAGGTCTCGTTTTCAGGCCTAAAACATTCCTCCTTACAATGAGGAAAAGGCAAAGCAACTTATGTACAACTCATTGGTGTTTTCTTTTCAATTTGTTTACGTGTATAAGATTTCCATCATGGAACTTTTTAATAGTGGTGATGGAAACATTTGTTGTATAAGATTTATCGATTGTAAAATAATAAGAACACCTATTGTTTGCCATATTTGATTATAAATATTTTATAAATGTGGAAGAGGTCATTTCTTAATTCTAGAATATAAATATATATATAAACTCATGTTTGTGTCTATATTTTCAATAATGTACCATTGTCCTTATCAAGTTCAAGACAATGTGTTAAGCATCATAGATCCTGACGCATAAGCAAATGTGAAAGCATGGATTAGAAGTGAAATAAGGATTGAACCCCACATATTTTGTTGATGATAGAGATAATAACAATGATTATATAAGAAAATCAAGGGTGAAAGCATCATGCCTATAATACAATATAGACTCATGACGTGTATAAAAGTAAAAAAAGACAACACTATTAAATCGTCAAGGCATTATAATAAATAATAATACTTTTTTTTATTTTTCTTTGAGCCAATATTTCAAATAAATATATAACTAAAAACTGAAGTCATATACAATGCATTATGATGAATTTAATTCTAAGCTATAATAGAGCTTAGAAATGATTTAATTTGACAAAATAAAGAAATACTAGGATGCTATGTATGCCAAATTGTCCAAAACTCATCAAAAATTAAAAATAAAAAGAAAAATTAAAAAAAAAATTCAAAAGGCTACATAAGGAACTAGTCAGAGTAAATACCATTTTTAAGAGAAAAAGGAAGTTGAAGATAGTCAAAAGCTTCAAGAATCAACTCTACTTTCTCCAGCAAAATTTCCTCTGCATAACAAATTTAGATTATGAGAGCTTGATATAACGTTAAACCATCACCTACTTCATATAATTGATTTCCATGTCAACTTCAATTATAAACATAGTAAACACAACAAATGACATTCCATTTTTACATAATTCAAGATTCTTAACAGCAATTACAAAATAACAGTTTATTTTTTATATAGCTGTGATCAGTTGAACTAAAATTAAACTAGGCGACATCTAGTTGAAAATTCATATGCGCATCGCTAGTGCACTCTAATAAACATTAAAGAACAGAATATACATTAGTGATTTATTTAAAAACTTTGTTAAAAGAAACAAAAGGGAAATATTCTTCACTCCATACAAGTTTAAAAAATTATATAATAGAATGCACGCAAGCAAGTGACCTATTCTAATATTGGTTAAAAGTACTTGTACGAAACAAAAAGTGAACATGTCTAAGAATAACCCACTTTATGTTACAGCAGAAGAAGATTCTAAATTATACTTTTCAATAAAGTTCATTATCAAATAACAGCAACAAGGATGTAAGACATCTCTGAAGCTTAAGGTTAAACAACGCATGGTGCAACAAGATATCAAAACAAGATAACGAACGCCAGGGAACATAACAAAACCATATAAAGCATCATGGTCGTAGAAGACTATCTCAATTTTTTCACCAAAAGTAATTGCATGTGCATATTGCAATATCATTATGTATTGACCTCACCAGAGACGTGAAAATTTTTTTGAATAAAGTGGAAATGAATCAGCTTCGAAAGATTGAACGATAAAAGAACTATTTTTGAACCACTAGCAAGAACAAGAAGTACAAATTTAGGAATGTAATAACTAGAGCAGCAGACATATTACACATCAAACGCCAAAGATGAACGAAACTAATCTCATTTGATAAACTCATACCAAGAGATTGATGAATTTAGATTAATATAATGATCAATACAAATCAACTTCAGAAAAAATAAGCACAACAAAATGTTAACTTGTTCACATAATATCGTAATTCCTAGTCACCACATAACTGGTTCATAGAATTAATAGTTTACTACAATAAAGAGATGGTAATTTATGTCTCAGACAAGTGAAGGAGATGCCACCAAAATATCGAATTACTTACCGTTCCATAAGCCAACCTTGAGCTGCTCCTTTTGGATTCCCTTCACATAGCGGCCAAGGTAGCCTGCAAGCACCTGGCTAACTACCCCTTCGAACATGGTGGGTTGATGACTTATCCTCCCAGAGATGAAGCCCGCCGCAGAAGCATCGGGTTTCCAAAAGCGAAAGGATGATAGAGAGTTGTCAAACTGAGGGCCTGTTTGGATGCAGGATTTAGGCCAGAATATAGGCAAGATTTGAGCTAAATCCTGCCAAACGCCAAAAAATACAAAGTTATATCTCACGGTAAGTATAATCACTACTTTACGGCGTTTTCACCATTTTGCCCTAAATCCCGGATTTCGTAAATCCGACTTTTTTGTGGATTTCATAAATCCGACCGAACAAGCGCGCGAAAGGGGAGAAATGTCGTTACCTCCGCGGCAAGCTCCCGGCGCGACTTCCGGTCCAACAGGAACAACGTCGGAGGAGGAGGAGGAGGAGGAGGAGCGGAGAAGCTTCGAATCTTTCGGAACTCTACTTCATGACAACGAATAAATGCAGAAGAGGAAAAGCAAACCCTCGACAGAAAATGGCTAGCAGCTCGTTCGAAGCTCTACTTCACGCGAATCGCCACGAAGAAAGCGAAGAGGGAAAGCCAACCGCATTAGATTAATTCTTCATTTCTTAATTAGGTATTAATTTAATTAGCTTAATTAATATAATTTAAAATATAAATATTTAATTAGGTTATTAGTAGTATAAATATTAATTAAATAATTAGTTAGTAATATAATATTTAATTGATTAATTAGATAATTATAAATATACTAAAATAATTTTTAAAAATTTAAAACGTGTACTCTTATTAATGACTTGATCGCCCAAAGTCACAATCCCCTCACTAGAATTCTGCTGATAATACCCTAATTATAGTATTCAAAATTATAATTTATCGATCTGAATTAAAAGTAAAATTAATAAGTAACTCATAATTAAAATACGTATGAATTAATCCCCTTAAATCTTGAATATCATTGTTAAACAACCTCACATAATTTGTTAAGATTTAATATATTTCTTGTCAAACAGTTTTTAGGATTTAACCCTCGCCTTAGACCTTAACCCATACACCTCGAGTTTTTAGATTCTAGGAGAAATATTATTTTAGATTTAAAACTTTAGGTAGGCATATTTTAAAAAAAAAAATTTGCATATGATATAAAACTAAGATTTTTTTTATATGCATATACATATTATTTTGCTAGATAACAAAATTGAATTACTATATAATATAATTAAGTTTTTATTTAATTTTTATGTATTATGTTGAATTCAAATTTGGAGCTGATAATGCATGGCTTTAATTACAAGCAATCGTATAGATAAGAACTAAAGAATTGAGAAGTATTAAAATGAGTATGGAGAGTGAGAAAGAGAGAAATAAAAGTTCAACATATGCAGAAGATCTGAAAATAACTAAAAGATTCAAAATTTGCATATTTACCCTTTTTTTAGTGCTTAAAAGGTTACAGTGAATGGTACATCGAAAAAAGTAAGAAAAAAAATACAATATTCAATATGAATAATAATAGAATGTATTGGACACAACGTGATTGGTAGGTGGCTCTGCCTCTCATGTGTCCCTTTGTTCCGTGGTAAGCCCCTTAAGCGGGTCTTTTACAAGCGAGTGTATTGAGCAAGTCCTCGATATAAAGTATACAACATGAGTACGTGTGAGTGAGTCCTCTGGATACAACAGTGAATCCCTAAAGAGAGTGTATAGATATCTAAGTGCGAGGCATGAGTGCCTTTCGGTGATTATGACCACAAGTCGAGGATTGACAAAGTCTAGAGAATCGAAATCACATACCCTTGAGATATGCACTTCCTGCAGTTTGATTTGAGGATATCATTGGTAGCCTGGATGATGATGAACCTTGGAAGATTACCTTCCACTAAAATAAGTGATTCCTGAGGGCTTGGACAAATTTATACTAATCCCCCTAGTGCGCATGCTTGGGATTACACCTTGATACAATCGGCTAAGATGAGTTACATTCACAACTAGTGATTTCCTTTAGTGGGTGACATGACTACTCTAGCCAAGCTCTTTATGTAAAAATTGTGATGCATAAGTGAAATATATATACGGGCGTGTTCTTTTGTTGAAAATTTGAGTTTGAAAAGTTGATTTTTTTTTTTTTTTGAAAGATTTAATTTTTAAAATTTTGGTCTCAAAATCTAACACATCATTATGAACGATATATCGCCCGAGTGGCAAAGATATCATTCCTTAACAGGTCTAGATGACAAACTGAAAGATTTATCATGGCTAAAATGGTTAAATTTAAGAAAGAACTACAACCCCAGAGGGCTAACATGAAGTTTTATCGAATTTCTGACTATGACAGTCTGTAAGAGATCATTAATTTCATATTAAGAATCTTGATAAGAAATGATACATCTTCCCAAAAGAAGAAAGTATCATTTACTAATCGATCGTCTAAATATGATGATAATGATCGTCGTCGATTTGATTTTTCCAAAGAAGATTATTTTAAATTTAAAAATCAATTTTTAAAAAGTATATGTGAGTTCTAAATCTCCTACAAGCGCAAGCCCTCATAGTTAATTACATCGTAGTACCTAAGTTATCTATGAATAATCTCGATTAAAATAACGACATAAATTCTATTTTGAGGATTTTCAATGAATGATATCGAAGGAGGTGAATTTAGAATCTTAACTAGGATTGGATCAAATTTGAGCATTTATTTTGAGGATAAAAGGACGAAGGGTAGGAAATACTTTGATATTCTGAAAAAAAAAAAAAAAATCAGAAGTGCCCAATATATTCTACATTTCAGGCTTTAAGTTTTAGATCAAGAAAAGCTTTAGTTTGAGCTGATCATTTTATTAGACATTTGGGATTGTATTCTCGAAGTTTGGGATCTTATGACTTTAAATCTGCCCCGAATCCTAAATATAAATTGGGTGTTGGACAACAGTGATCTAAACCTAACTAGTGCAATGCAAAACATTGACTTACCTTGACCAGGATTGGGAGCTAGCTAACCACCTAAACATTTTAAAATCTATGAGTCTGATCTTTTAATGAAAGACTGGTAAAACGTTAATTAAATTTTAATGATTTTTAAAAGAAATTAAACCACTAGTTTAACCAAAAGTTTTCTCAAATATCAAATGCTTGAGATATAATTTAACATAGGGGCTAGCTCCTATGGGGCATCCGTACCCTATAATAGAATAAACAATATTAAACCAAATATTGAATGAGAGGAAAATCTCTGTTAAAATTTAAAATTTAATTTTGTTGATGATTTCATAGATAAATGGCATTTTTGACCTTTGGGACAATATATCATTTTCTTTGTCACGCTTGATTACAAAATATGCAATCCATTTAGAGTGACAAAATTTCTCCAACACTACTATCTTTCCCTTACTTTAACCCACCTCAAAGGAGTTATGCATTTCTTGCTCTATAAAGCTTCATGTGGAGCCATTTTGATGTTGGATTAGCGACTATTATTATAAGCAAATTTAATCAAAGAAATACGATCTTCTCAACTATCACAAAAAAAAAAACTAAAATACACAATCTTAATATATATTTAAGCACTTGAATAACCCTTTATGATTTGTTATCTACTTATGAATGAAATGTCATTCTAAAATTCATTTTAGTACCCAAAGCCTCATGAATACCTTCCATAATCTTGATGTAAATTGACCATCTCTACATAATAGAAAAACTCTAGGAATGCTATGCAAACTGATAATTTCCTTCACAAATAATTTTGTTAAACTATATGATGAATTAATCTAACTTAATTACATTTGAAATTATTGAGATAATTGAAAAGGTTGAACTTCTGAAAATGCCTACCTTCAAAAATACAAATTTTTTTAACTTTGAACTCAACTCTTTTATGTTTGGGTTTGTAATACTTTCATTGATAGTCTTGTGATGCCTTCAATCTATCTCTTAATCAATCTTTTTTTCTCAATGGCTTGTTCTATCAATTTTGGACCCAATAATTGTCTTACCCAAACTTTAACCCAGCCTAGAGGAGTTAAGTATTTCCTATCATACAAGGCTTCATATGGAGTTATTATGATGTTGGATTGGTGACTATTATTATAAGCAAATTTAATCAAAGGAAATTGATCTTCTCAACTACCATAAAAATTTAAAACACATAATCGTAACATATCTTATAGCACTTAAATAACTCTTTATGATTGATTATCTGTTTATAGATGACATGTCATACTAAAATTCAATCTATTACCCAAAGCCTCATAAATACCTTTTCATAGCGCTGATGTAAATTGACCATCTCTACATAATAGAAAAACTTAGGAATGTTATATAATTTTATAATTTCCTTCACAAATAATTTTGTTTAATTATCTAATGAATCAGTCCAACTAATAGTCAAGAAGTGCATTAAAGTTGTTAACCTATCAATCACCACTTAGATATAATTATGCCCTATCCTAGACCTGCGAAAGCCTTTAACAAAATTTTTAGCTATATCCTCCCACTTCCACTCTCGTATAAGCAAAAATTGAAACATTCCAATAGGCTTTTGATGTTTAGCTTTTACTATTTAACATAGCTTACATTTAGCCACAAAATTAGCCAAATATTATTTAAGACTGGCCACCAAAATAGTGATTTCAAGTCTTTATATTATTTGTACTACCATAGTGAATTGAATAGCCTGAAAATTAGCTTTTGTGATAGCTAATGTGTAACACCAGTGAAACTTGTGTACGATTGCACATGTTCTACTCGACCTGATACTGAAAACCCGCTAAATTTTTATGATTGAACCCCTTTGCATGTGTTTAGGAATGTTCTGTTGCATATGAGTGTCTAAATCTAGTCTAAAGGGGGTCCTATACGTTTCTGTGCATGTTTGGATAATCTAAAAATTTTTCATTCGGGTGCCGCAATGTTGGGTTTGGCAGTGCTGTTGCTTTAAGCTCTCTATTCTTTTGGCCAAAATAAAAAGGGTGCTATGGCATCGTGTTCCTATAAAGGGAGCACTACGGTGCACAACTTCGGGCTACATGATGCCAAACTCAAATGTTATATTAAAATATTCTTTTTCATCATTTTACATACAAGAAAACACCTCATTTCTAGCTGAAATAAATTCATCACAAATTCTAACGGATTTTCCAGCAGATTAGTGACAGAAAATTTTTGGCGAATTTTCCAACTGATTTCTGACGAATTTTTTGTCCAGCTTTCCCAAGGAATTTCCGATGAAAATTAAATTTTTCTAAAAAATGACTATAATAAATATTTTATAATTATTTATTTTTTAAAATTAAGTTATATAATTTAATATCTTATTGTCAAATTAAATTATTAAAAATAAATATTTTAAAATTAAATTATTTAAATTAAATATTTTAAATTAAATTAATTAATTTAATAATTCATTGTTAAATTAAATTAATATAAATAAAATTAATTAAATTATATAAATAATTCATTATTAAATTAAATTAATTAAGTTAATAATTTTTTGTTAAATTAAATTTATTAATTCAATAATTACTTTTTATGTTTTATAAGTTATAATTTAAATTTAAAAAAAGCTTATGAAGGATTTTACTTTT